CCAGTGCCGTAAGTGCCTCCAACAGTCGAAGGTGTCGAATGGCGGCGCCCCCGCACCACCACACCACACACCACACACCACCTTTGGAATCACCTATGGAACCAGCACCAGCACCACCTCCACCTCCACCTGCCTGCCGCATCCCAATTTGTGGCTTGTTTCGCTTGCATTTTACACACAGAGTCACAGCTTAATTCGCTGATGTGTGGGAGTGTGTATCTCTCTCTCTATTTTCATTATATATCTTACTTTTGTTGGTTGTTAAAAAGAATTTCCAACGCTTTAAGTTTTCCGTGAGGCCGTAAATTTTGTAATTAGCGTAAGGTTTGATTTGACCTACAGCAAAACAAGGCCTCCCATTAGTAGTAGTTTTTCAGTGGATTTAAGCCACCAATATCCCTACTAAATCTCAAGTCAAGCACAATAAATCTATATATAAACTTATATATCTGGAAAGTGTTGTTCATCTATTCTTTCGCTTTGTTTCCTCTTGGCCAAACTGTCGCACACGAACGCACACGGCAAGAACTCGGTAAAAAAAAAAAAAAAAAAGAAATGAGAAAAAACCAGAGCGGGAAAAAGAAAATGAAAATTCCCAAAGGAAGCATAGATAATGAGTCCGGAGTCCCCGAGACTCCGAATGCCAGTGAAAAAGTCGACCAGCCGAAGCCGAAAGCCAACTCTTGTCGAACTGAAAGTGTGGTCTAAACACAGGGACGGATTTAAGGTTTAAAATTAGTTTAAAGAATTAAAAACCCGAAGACCTAGATACTTGGGATACTTCAACAAAATATAAGAGAATATTATACTTAAGGGGCCTGATTTAAACAAATACAAAAACATTTAAAATATTAATTTTGATTGAAAACAAAGCTCTTATTATTAGCCTATTCGTATATCTTACAATGGTAAAATAGTAAAAACAAACTTAATAAATTATTCAACACATAATATAGGTTTTATTTTATAGTTCAGCGAACTTGAAAATAATGAAATGTGTAATAAATAAAATGTATAAATTTTGTGATTTTCCCAATCATAGTTTTTAAAGTTTCATCAAGGAATAACATCCAAGAACATGTTTTAATACAATGAGAGAGTACTGCCTTAATTTTCATTTTTAAATTTAAAAAAGAATACTTCCCCTCCCTGAACAATCCGCTCCTGGGGGATGGTCAGTCACCCAGTTCGTCAGTTGGGCCCCCGACGACTTCGGGTGACGTTGACTAGTGTCAGCCATTTTAGCCGAGTTGCCGCGTTGCTGCCACAATGGCAATATGCCTGGCCATTGTGGAACGGCGACGACTCTCCCGACTGCGACTCCGTTACCAAGTTGCGCTGCTGCTGCCAGCTTCTGTGGCTTTTGTTTTTAGCCATTGTTAGCCGGGTCTGGTGCTTCAGCTTCTGCAACATTTGAATGATTCTCGTTGGTCGTGTCAGTCCCACGGGTAATTATTGACACGGTTGTATGCACGCAGCCCAAAAAGCACACACAAAAGCAGGCGGCGGTGGCAGCGGTGGTGCGGCGTGTTGCTTTGCCACGCGAAATAATAAAAAGCCAACTCCACTCGAAATAATAATAATGAAAATGTCGGTATTTGCCTCGAGGAGGGGTTTCACTCCCGCTCCGATATAGATACGAATGGGTATAGTATATATATTTATATATATGGATACATGTATAGGGGAGGGTGTGCTCTGTGTGTAGGGGGTGTTGCCGTCGCACTTGGCACGCATGGCCACATTAAAACCAATGAAAACTACAATTTGCCCTCGCATATTAGTGGCTTTTCTTTTATCATCACATAATGCGGATTGTTGGGTACTCCAAAAGGTGGGCCATATAGTTTTAATGAACCAAAAACGAAGTTGGAAATAAACTATATACTCCTGTGTATTGAATTTTATGTTAGTTTGACCATTAAATTAGGCAAAAAAAAACAAGGGTGTATTAACTAGAATACTAGGATAAGAAAAATACTTTAAATAATAATAAAATATTCATTGTTTTAATTCAGTACAGTTTCTAAAGGTTATAAAAGGTTATATAAGTAAGTCATTAGTTGTTGCCTTTGCAGTTTCTCCTTTAAAGAACTTAGTCTGGTAACAACTTAATACATTTTCCTTCTCAACTAAACATATGGAATTCTATTACATATTTAAATCTACCATTAAAATCCATTAACTATGATTAATCAGCAAGGAATTTCTCCGCCCAAAAAATTCAGGACAATCCTCAGAAAATCCCATAAATTCTTTAAGCGTATTTCGACCATTAAAAAACCTTTCCTTTCCGTTTTTCCATATAAAAGTTTATATAGCCCGAGGGGCGGCAGGCACAGAGTGGGTGTGCGTGTGTACTGAGAGTGTGTGTGCTTCAACTACCCCCAAAAAGGCAGGTGGCAATAGATAAAACGTATAAATAGGCTGTTGTGGGCAGTTGCCGCCATGTTGTTTCCCCCATTAAATTCATTCCATTTCGACGTCTCTATTTTTTTCTCTCTGTGTTAGAAAATAATCAAGAGACCAGAGAGAGAGAATAATTATATATTGGGCATAATAAATATATATATGTATATATATATTGTTCAAGTGCATGGAGCGCATCGCGTGGGCGTTTGCCACGGCTGTATAATAGAAAATATATAATTTTCATGTTTAATTTTCCCTTATTATTGGCCACTTTTTGTTGCCAAATTCAGTTTCGAATTCGAACGAAAATAACGACGATTTTTGTTTTGTGTTTAAAACATTAATGCCGTCGCATAAATAAAAATCATTGCACTTGCGCTTCTGTATTATATATTATTGTTATTATTTGCTGTTTGTTATTGTTTTCGTTCTCGATATATATATATATTTAAGCCTAAAACTGGCTTTCAATAAGCAGGCGTCTGGCTGGGAGGGTTCAGGATATATGTACTATATATTTACAGGCTGATGCAATTTTTATGCGGAATTACTCGTACTAACCAATAACATTTCGGGGCCTGTGAATACTGTTAATCAACACATCCAATGAAATATGCATTTAAATTATGAATTAAATGCTAAAAGCGTGCGGCACATTAGATTTCGATCAAGTGGCAGTCGCAGGGGGCAATGAGACGCATTTAATGATATTTTATGATTCTGTTTTTGCATTTTTCGGTGCATAATAATAATATTAAATTGGCTTTAACGCAGATCAAAAATATGGGAATTATTTTAGGGGGAATTTTTTAAGGAGCTTAACACATATCTGAATTTATTCTAAACAAAACTTAAAACTACGTATAATAAATAAAGAAACTATTATATTAGTGATAACACTTAACCCTAAATTTGATATGAGACATGTATATTAAAGAATGACTTTGAAACTACTGAGGTTTCTCAAAGGTTTTCTTTGACCTCTAGTGACAAATTATAAACAATAAACTCCTGGCGAATCTTAACCCCATTAATTTGTTTTTGACAAATCAAAAGTAATTCCCTGGTGACCCCGTAAATCTGGCAAATTGTCACTTTAATCACCCACCGATTGACGTCAATATTTTTATATTTTTGACGATTGAGCATTGACCAGGAACATCCAGAGGATATCCATCAAATTACTGGCACTAAAAGGCCTTATAAACAAAAGGGGTAATTTCACGAAATGCCACGCTTTTTAATGACAACTTTCATTAACGATCCCAACTCGATCTGCGAGGGGTGTTTGTTAGTTAATTACCAATTGCTCGCTCTCGCTGACGTAGGCAATCGCATTATAATATGCCCACTTAATTGTTTAATGGCTTTTCGAACACTTTAAGCAAACAAATGAAATTAATAAATACGCGCAATTATCGGCAGATATCCGAGTTATTAACGCCCAGCAGCAGAAGCGGTATCTCTGCAAAAGCTGGCTGTAAAATGTCTGTAAAACTGTCTCGTAAAGTGGCGAGAAAAAAATTAACCAAAACAAACTGAGCGCTAATTAAATAATAATAAAAGGTCCGTCTTTTTTTTCGAATAATATTCTTTTTTATTTGTTTTTTAAGAGTTTTTTTCTGGCTTTTTCATTTCATTTTCTCTTATGGTTTTTCATCTGTTCTTTCTTCTGTGTGTGTGTGTGTTTTGTTGACTTTGCTGCTGCATAAATGTGTGTGGTTTTGTGTATATATAATTTATTATACAGTTGAGGGCATGGCTTAATCTTAAATATTCGGTTTCACTTCTCGCATCGTTCCTTATAGCTTAGTTTTTCAACATACCAAAAACAAAGAGTACACTAAACAAAAATTTCGTTTACTTCTATGTATGTATGTCTATATATGTCTATATGTATATAAAGTAACACCCAAAAGATTGTTTTCAAAAGAGATTATTAGAAAAGAAGTAAAAAGTATACAAAAATGACGAGTAAAAAACACAAATTGAGGGGTTTTTTTACACAATTTTTCGTTTATTTTTGTTTTGTTGAAATAATTTCAATTTTTTGTTGTTTAGCATTTAGGTTTGCCATGTTTCGTATTTTGTTTTTGTTTTTATGTTTTTAATGTACATCAATTAATATATTACAATTTAGCATTTGTTGTGGTTGTATTTGATTATTATTCGTTTGTTTAAGTTTTAAGATTTAGCTATATTCTTATGGTTGGTTTTTACCATTCGTTTTTCCTTGGCTTACAATAGAAAGTACAGTACTAAGTAACTAAACTCTTCACGTTGTGCCTAATTCTTTAAAAATTACCACCTAGAAATTACAGTTTATATATATATATATTTTATAAATGTTGTTGGATTTTTTTAGTTGTGTTTTTCATGATTTTCTCGTAGGGTTTATTTAAAAAATCTACAATTGCATTTAAAGCTAAAAAATATGACTTAACTGTAAGTTTTTATTTACAGAATGTTTTGGGTGTTTTTGTATTAATATTTACTTATACCATTTTCATCTCGCCGCGCGTTAAATTCTAGTGTCTTCTCCATTGTTTTTTGTTTTTTTGTTTTTGTTTTTGTTTTGAAGTCATATATAAATTTTTTAGAGTACAATCTACTGGCTATATATATATAATATATATAAACACGGCTTGCTTAAGAACCTAAGCCCTAGCTAGAACCGACTTGGGGCTTTCTTGAGCCTTTTTGTTTTCAATCCTTAAATATTTTGTTTAAATTTTTAACTTGATCTAGACGGCGGCGACAAAGTGTGACAAAGAACGAAAAAATATTTTTGTGGACTTTTTACCTTTTGCTTGTGGTGGAGCAGCTGAGGAATTTCTTTTCTCATTTTACTTGTTCTTGTTTTTTGGTTTTCTTAACACTTGGGTCGCACTTTTAACTAGTTTTTCTTGTTTTCTTTTATATATCTTTGTTTTGCTTTAGTTTTAATTTTTAGCATTTAGTTTTTAGGTTAAAACAACATCACTTGGTTTCACGTTTGATTTGAATTGCGTGTATCTATTTCGCTTTATACAAAAGGAAATCGCTTTCGTTTTACATTTAATTTAGTTTAAATTGATTTAATTTAAGCAAGTTTTTCAAACTTTAAAAACAAAACTAAACTGGTGGATGACAGACAGCCCCTCCACATATCGCTCCCTGCTCCTCTTTAAGCTGAAGTTTAACACAGATTAATGCACTGGTAAAAAAGATGATCTCTCAACCCCATTAACATCGTCATCATCATCATCATCATCTATAGAGACCTTAACTTATTTCTATATTCCTATAAGTAGTACAATCGAACCTTTTCAACAACGGATATAGCATTTTCAGGAATTTTGGAACACTTTTTAAGTTATAGTTTTGATTTTGTTATCTTTTAATAACTTATAAAGCTTCTCACATTTTTAAGGGTTTGGAAAACTCACTTTCTTATGAAAGTTTACTTGGAAGATGGTGTATATTTTAAAAATGAACAAACATTTCTTGAAAAGTGGTTTTAAATTTCAAGTTCACTTTTCACCTAACAAAAACCTTTAGGGATAACCCCAAACTGTATTATAGAAATTCAAAAAACTACTCTCTGCTGAATCGTTATGGTGAAAAAGTTCGACTGTACGATTATAGGGCTATTCCCGGTCCCGCTCCCTGTCCCTTTCCCGTTCCCGCTCCCGCTTGAACTGCGGCCACCCGTTCGACGCCGAGTCCTAGGAGGACTCATAGCCAAACCAGGCGGCCGACGAATGCTATTCCCCGCCAGCACCGCCCGCCCCACCGAAGCTATTGAAGTGCCTCACGGCGCCCGGTGCCGCGGCGGCTCCAAATTGCAGACTCAGCTCGAAGAGGCGGCGGGCATGGAGCTGCTGCTGCTGCTGCTGATGGTGATGATGGTGCTGCTGGTGATGATGGTGCTGGTAGTGATGATGCTGGTGCAGCGGATTCAGGTTCAAATGGCCGCCCAGGACGCTCGAGGCGGAGCCCGCCGGCGATGCCGAGCTGGGCGGTTGGAGGGGCAATCCACTGTTGCTCCCAGCTCCCGGGGACAATTGGGAGTTGCTGCCACCGCCGCCACCGCCGCCGCCGCCGTTGCCGGGCGTCTGCTGTTGCTGGGGATGCTGCTGCAGCTGATCGCTGGTATGGAACAGGTGCGGATGGTGGGCGGGATTCAGATGCGGATGCTGGTGCGGATGTGGGTGCGGGTGATGTGGATGCTGGTAGCGCATGGGATCCATGTACATTGCGGCTGCTGCAGCGGCTGCAATGCTGGAGGCCTGCTGTTGTTGCTGTTGCTGTTGCTGGTGGTGCTTCACTTGCTCCTCGTTGTTGTTGTTATTCGTGTTGTTATTATTATTGTTATTGTTGTTGGTGCTACTATTGTTGTTGTTGTTGTTGCCAGCGGAAGAGCTGCCCAGCGGACTCTGCGGCGACATCACCTGGCTGGTCATCGTTGCCGACGATCCCGCACTCGAGGAAGGTGTGTTGGGAGTGTGTTGCTGCTGCTGTTGCAGGTGTTGCTGTTGCTGCTGCTGCTGCTGTTGCTGCTGTTGTTGCTGCTGCTGTTGCTGCTGCTGCTGCTGCTGGCTTAGGCTATTGAGGGATGCAGGAGTGGACGCAGCTGCAGCTGAGTTCGACTCCTGGATTTCTGATTGCTAGTGAGCCGCTAACTGATGCGCCGAGACCACCGCCGAGGATTGCATGTTCTGTGGGCTCAACATCGGCGGGCTGTGCGAGTGCGAATGGGTGCCCATGGGGCTGCCGTGCATGTCATGGTGCGGATGATAGCCGCCATGATGCATATGACCCGGCGGCATGCCGTCCATCATGTCCCCACCGAGTGTATTTGGCGGCGTCATGCGCTTCTCCTTCTGCCGCCGATTGCAGAACCACACGCGGACCACCTCCTTCTCCAGCTGCAGCGAGTCCGCCAGCGAGGAGATCTCCTGGGCCGAGGGCTTGGGCTGCTTGTGGAAGTGCTGCTCCAGCGCCCCCTTCACGCTCACCTCGATGCTGGTGCGTTTCTTGCGCTTCCTGCCCTGCGCCGCTATCTTGTCGATGGACGTCGGTGATCCGGTGGTGGAATCTGCCTCCTCCAGCCACTTTTGGAGCAGCGGCTTCAGCTTGCACATGTTCTTGAAGCTCAGCTGCAGTGCCTCGAACCGGCAGATCGTGGTCTGGGAGAAGACATTACCGTAAAGGGTACCCAGGGCAAGACCCACATCCGCCTGGGTGAATCCTAGCTTGATGCGTCGCTGCTTGAACTGCTTGGCAAAGGCCTCCAGATCATCGGATGTCGGGGTATCCTCCTCGCCGCCACTGATGGCATCCCTGTCGCCGCCGCCGCCCATGTGATGGGCGTGGATGTGCAGCTGTGGGGACTCCCCTCCCCTCAAGGCATGATGCAGCGGCGCCACGCTCTGGTGATGTGCCGCTGCCGCTGCATGGGCCGGATGATGCAGCATCCCGTTCATTGCATGATGGTAGCCCAGCGGCGATCCGCTGGGAGCATAGTGACCGGCATGTGGGGCATGCCAGGCGGCATGAGGCGAGGGCGAGGCCATGCCCTGCTGGATCCTCGTCTGCTGGGAGAGATGTGACATCTCCTGCTTCACTGTATCCGCCGCCGAGGCGACGGCAGCAGCTGCAGCAGCGGGATGATGGTGCGTATGGTGCGTGGGCAGTGACCAGGGATCCGGATGCAGGGTGCTCCACGAACCCAGCCCCGAGCCGGGACCCAGTCCCAGGCCAGTGCCATTGCCCTGGCCATTGGGCGACGGCGACGAGGGCAACTGATGATGTGCGGCTGCTGCTGCGGCGACGGCGGAATGATGGTGATGATGATGCTGCATGTACTTCATCTCACCGGCATCCGCGGCGGAACGGGGCGAGGAGGTGTGATAGCCGCCACCGCCGCCGCCGCCGCCGAGGGCCATGTCCAGATCACCGCTGGGCGGGGTCATGTACGAGGTCGCGGCCATCCCCACCGCTCTGGGGCTGTTCAGGCCCTCCACGCTGGCGGGGTAGGGCTCCAAGTTGGGGCTCAGTTTAACGACTTTGTACACCGATCGATCGAAAGGAAGACCGGGGTCCCTATGCTCATTCCACTCGAACCGTGAGGCAACCGTCTTGACGTCTTTTACGTACAACGTGGCAGGCGAGAAATGTTCCGAATCTCGGCTAGGCTCCTCTTGGTCCTATCCTATTCTCCTTGCTTGGCCTCCTTGGCGCTCAACAAGTTTTCTTGTGGTTTTGATTTTTCTGGGATTTTTTGTTGTTTCCCGTCGGGAAAACTTTGTTTCTTTTTTCGTTGTTGCACGATTATTGATTTTGCATTATATTTATTGTATTTTCTTTCATTTAGATTTCTGTAGCAAACACTTTTTGTAACACTTGGCACTTTTTATTTGTTGGGTATACTTTTCGATTTTCGCTACTATTAATTTGTTTTAGCTTAAAAATGTGTCACAGAAGACGCGTATGGTGTGTGTGTTTTGGGTTGAGATTCTTTTAGTTTTGAAACAATATTCAGAAACTCAGAGCGTGTGGGTTGTGTGTGTGTGTGTTGTTTCCGTTTCCGATTTCTCGACTTCTCGATTCCGATTGAAAGATTTTTAGCTTTCTTCTTGTCTCAGAATTTCGACAGACAGCCGGGAGAGCTCAGGGAAAATTCACGTGCAGACTGGCAGAGCTATCGAAGTGAACTAACGTCATGTCTCGCACCGCAGCGCTACGTAGCGTACGTCGCGCACACACACACCGCAACACACACTCACACACACACCACTCCGCACCCCGTTCGACGCACACACACACACAGATACACGGCTAGCAGCCGGTAAGGGAAACTGGTTTCCAGCGAGCGCCAGAGCAGGGCAGATAGCAAATGCTCAGAACGAGATGGCGCTAGGGGCGCTCGCAAACTGGAAGGCGACTTGCGCTCTATTGGACTCAAAGTATTCCAGCGTTACGCCCCCAAAAAGAAAGAGAGAAAAAAGAAAAGAAAATAGAGAGAGAGCGAAGCATATAGAGGAAAATAATGCCAGGCGATCTCGGGTCGGCGAAAAAAGACAGAGCGCTGAGAGCTGCTGGAGCACTGCACATTCCCATGCAAAGAGTGACACTTTGCAATGGCGAGAGCGAGACTGGGCTATAGTGGGTCTCCGAGGAGCATTGGGGCCAGGGAAGCTTTCGCCTGTCGCCAGGACTTCTCTCTCCCGCAGGAAGCTTTGCTTCAGTTCCTCGCTGCTCCTTGGCCAGACAACTTTTCCTTTCGTTTTGTGAGTGTGTGTGGCTTTTCTTTTCTTAAGGGTTGCAAAAAAAATCAAAGAGTGAAAGACATGGAGAAATCTTATTACTAATAGTGTTGAAAGGATAACAATTATTCCAACCAACAATCTTGGGACAATTAAATGTTTAGACTCTATAAGATATCAACATTTTAATCCCATTCCTGATGTTTGTGTATACGTGTTACTCCTTTAAGTAAAAACTCTCAAGAGTCATATAGTATCTTGTCAAAGAAGACTTAAATTACTAAAAATAGCTTAATAATGTATTAAGTAGATATGCTATGATTGCTACGATAAAGACATTTGTTTATTATAATAAAGCACACTGTTTTATAATTGTAAAAATAATAATAATAATTAAAAACCATTAAATAAATATATAGTTTCGCCTTAAACAAAGTCGTCTCTAGTTTTAAGAAGACACTTTTAAATGAACCAACTCTCCAATAAATAAATTATTATTTAAATAAGTTACTGAATATTAAAAAATATAATTTAGTCTTAAACAAGGTTTTTTCCAATTTTATAATATAATTAAAGTAAAGGTTTAAATAGAACCTATCTTTAATATATTTTTATTCCAAAACAAGAAGAGATACCTAAAGAATTACTTCAAATTTTGTTTCCAAAATAATTTAGGGTATAATATAGTGTATAAGTAATAACAGGCATAAACATAACCTTGCCCTAAGTTATCTTAAAATAAGTATAAATCTTATTAAACTAAGTAAATCATGAGTAAATCATTTCAAAGCTAAAATCAATATACCTTTAGGATATATTTAAGTTTAGGATAAACCATTCTACCTTTACCTCCTCTAAAACCGAATATTGTTCAGTTTTTGTCATGCATATCAGTTTTATTTCTCATTTTGACAATGTGCCTTTCTTTTCCACGATAACTTCTTTCTTTCTGGCTTTTGTAAGCGACTTTGTGTTTTGACTAGTTTACAGTTAAATTATGTTCGCCGACACAATAGTTTTTTGATTTACTTTATTTGTCAGCGTCATTGATTCTATGGGCCATTTTGGCGAAATTGCCACAAAAATCGCACAAAAATTAGCATAGCTAAAGGAACTGTTTGTGGCATCGTTATAGTTAAACATTTGTTAGAGGAGGGGAAGCTTTTTGTCTCTCACTGTGCAGTTTTTGATTTAGTGGAGCGTGGCGGGACAATGGGAAGAATCGAACGGAAAACCACTCAAAAAGTTATGGAACAATGAATGAAAAGAGCTGGACTCAACTTGAAATATTAAAGAAAATCCATTTAGTTTATTCTTTAAAAGAGAAGATATTTGGCTGTGATTTCTTCTGGTTTTAATTGTTTTAAAAGGAGTTATTTCTGTATTTTATCTCATTTTGTCTAGGATTACTCATAAAAGTAATATACCTTAATTAAGAGATATTAAATACATAACGTAGCCCTGTTTCTCTCATACTTAAAATATTTTATTGAATAATCCTAGCTTTAAGTAATTACTATTTATAGTTATGAGGAGTATGTTTAAAAGGATATGTATTCACATTTTAGTTGCTTTATTGTATTTAATATAGTTTAAAAACTCATATATATGTTATAAAACATAGATCATTTTTCCCTTTCCCTCTATAATATTTCATGAAATTCTCCTACACAAGTAAACACACTCATTCTTACACCCCCATAAATTCTTAACACATATCCATGGACCTCATTTTGCGGCAGGTCAAGAGCTCAATCACAAAAAATGAAAATTATGCAAACTAAGGTCAGCGGAGCGAGTGAGCAGACGCAGGCCAGACGACACAGACAACGAATTTGCATGAAATTTGTTTACATTTTTTTCTCCCATGACCATATCCTTTGGCCACGCACTTGGGCATAATTAATAAGCCAAGCAAGCGCCTCTTTTCCAACCCAAAACACCCGAGTGACAAAATATATATGTATATAAAGTCAGCAGTCTACCACTCATTGTGTGTGCTCGTCCTTAGACAAAAATTTACATGATAATTAGGTAGAGGCGCTAAACAACAACCAGGAAAAAAAAAAATACGCTATTTAAATTTCAAATGTCGAAGGAAAAAATCCTGTTTCCCCCGGTGATTCTGTGCGTTTCAAGTCTGTCTTTATTTTATTTTTTTACTTTTTCCACCGGCATATGCTAAATGCGCACGCGCCGCGTTTTTCGGGCAAAGGACTTGTTGCATAATTATGCGCCGCATGCGAGAAAATATACAAAAAAAAATGAGCAGCGATGGTAAAAAATAAACAGGAAAAAATACATAACTAAGCGCTGCGTTTATGAATGAAAGAAGATCTCTCGTGGCCGCGGCTCGCCGTTGATTTGGATGATAATGAGCTCGATTAGCATTTTGGCTGCATTTTTATAAATGGCAAAGTCCTCCCCTCTCACACCTCTCTGTTGTTTCCCTTTTTTTGTATGCGCACTTGCTTATAATTATTAGCATAATTTTCTTCTTATTTTGCATTAATTTGCTCAGGGGTTTCGCTTTTCGTGGCACGGCGTCTGTTTTGGTAATTAAAGTGCCATAATTTCCGAATCAAGACATATAAACTGGTCTGCTTTTGATCGCTTTGTTTATCGCACAGCACAATTAATGCGAAAACACTCGAGTATATAAACTCGTATCTATACATGTGGGTGTTGCTGTATAATTTTTTGGCCACTAATTTGTGGCAAATGCAAAGCAATTTTATTCGCTTAAGCGGTATTTAATGCTTTGCAAACAGGATTTTAGGTAAGAAAACCATTATTTTATTACGCTGACCTTAATCGGATATATGTCAAGCAGTAGGTGTCTCTTTTTTTATTTTATTATTTTTATTTAAAGTGTCTGAGCATCGTATTTTTAGTTTTGGTAGAGTATTAAATTAAGTGTTTTTGGGGACATAAAAATGTCTTTTGGGCCTGAAAGTTATTGTTCTGATTTAGTTAATTATAAAATCTATAATATACATTTTTTGTTTTAATGTTTCTTATTTTAACAAGACTCATTTTTTTAAGATTTTCCTAATTTCTAAAACTCGATTTAATGATTTGACAGTTGGTTTAAAATCCTTTGCCCTGGAAAATCGATTAAATACTCTTCTAGACAATTAATCCTGCCTGTCTGTCTTACCTACATCATCTTGAAAGTAAATTTCATGCAAATAATCCTTACAACCAGGAACCTACCTCTTTTCCCTCACCCAACCCCCCCTTGGCAGGATACATCTCTGCTCATTTGCAAACAAACGGTTCATTGGAAGGACTCCGATTTCGACTCCGACTCATCCTCAGCTGCAATCAATTTGCGTAAAGGAAAAAAAAGGAAGCCGCGGACAACTCTTTACCATATGCCCGACCAACTCTCGATTATTTTTTGCGCGCCAAAAAAAACGAACCGAAGAATACAGACAAGACAGCGCCCGAAGAAGACACCCCTTGAGCAACCCTTTTATTTTTTTGTTTTCTTTTGGCAAGGTCACCGGTTGTAGGCAAATTGCATAGGCATACTCTACTATATAGGCAAATTTGCAAAATCTCCCCGTGGATGCAACCGACCCATTTATCATCTTTTTTTAGGGCGACGCGACGTACCTCTTGCAATTTCAATTTTTGCAATTTTGCATGCAACGGCCGTTAAGAGTCTACAATCAGGGCGCCGCTTATCCTTTGCTGAAATCCTTTCACTTTCTACCTACGAAGTGAGTTTGCCAAAAATTCCCCTACATACACACTATATCCTGCTATATCCTGCACACACACACATACACACGCACCGCATCCTTGCTGTCTCATATGCAAATGAGCTCGCTGCCAAAAATAGAAAATTGTTCAGCGTCCCGCCAAAAAAATACAAAAACCGGGCAAAGAGTAAAAAATACAATTCGACGAGCGAGCAAAATGGCAATTGTTGGTTTTTTCGAGGGGCAGCAAACCCTTCTCCTTTTCCTCCTGATATTGTTAGTTCGCTTCAAATGCATTTCTGGTGCGCCTCATTGGCTTTTGGCATTGCCATTGCAAAGGGCAAAATATGCAAATTAGTTAGTACTTTTCCCCCTGTTTTTTTATTTATTAACTAATTTATCTCTGCGGCGCTGTGACACGTCCCATAGGCAGAGAGCGCGAACCCGTCAGGGTCGTGAATTATTGGCGAAACCCATATACAAATGCCAGAAAAGAGGAGGTACGAAAAAAAGCGTTGCAACACCTGGATACAATTTTTTTTCCTCGCTCTTTGGCTTGTGTGTGTGGGGTAAGCGTGGCTTTCATCGCTGGTTAAGTAGCTAAGTATGTGACAATAAAGCCGATTAAATGGGGTATACCTAATAGAAGGGGGAAAATCAGGGAGTTAAGCGTTAAAAATAGGATTTATTTAGGATCAAAGCTTACAGAGTTACCCAAAAC